ATTATTATGTTAAATAATTTAAAATATTTTTGGTTTTCTATTTTTTATTTATATTTATAATAGCATAATTTTTTTTCTCTACATCGCGCGGGTGAATTACTAATAAGAAATAAAAGAGGAAAAAATCTCAAAAGTCAAAAGTCAGGATATATATGATACTAAACTTTTGTCAAACTTCACTCCAAAATATGTAAATTGTAACATGAAACAATCTTTTTCAGACAGCTCTCTCACATCGTTGACTAGTCCGTCTATTTCACATTGTCCACCTCCCACCCCACAATAGCCACCAGTGCAACAAGTTTTTTAGTTGCTATTATTACTCAATTTGGCTTTAATAATTACATAATCAAAGCTTTAATTTAATTAGATTATTTCTTTCAATCAATCCGGGTATATATGGTATTTCACATACTTCAATATTTCAATATTTACTGTATGTAAATTATTGCATGTACTGTCTGTTTGTAACGTTGTATTTTTAATTGTTGAATTGCTATACATGTTTAGGGGACAGAAATACAGAATAATGAGGGAGAAGAACCTACTACCTACTATATATTATGCATATTTTACTTTTATATTTTATGCTTACAATTTAAACTTGAATGTGGATTGTGGATCTCTATCTAGCTTGTGGCCGGAGATTTGAATTGAATTTCAGAGGTTTTTTTTTTTTTTTTTTTTTTTTTTTTTTTAGTTAATTTCATTAGAGATTTCTTGTATTTAGTGACAATTTCAAATTTAATCCGAGACTATTGTTTTTGTCGTTTAACATCTCAAGTTATTGTTTTTCGAACACTTTTAATTCTTTTCATGACTTTTTCTAATTTTAGTAAGTACATTTTTGTTTCTTTATATTATTTTTTTGTTATTTTTTAATTTCAATCAGTTTAATTGATTATTTAAGATTTTACTAAAAATCAGTTAAAAATATGATTACTAAAAATCATCATACATTTTTTCCCTATTGAGTTTATTCATTAATTTCAAGAGTTAAATTTATTACGGAGTAACATTTTTGTAAAATCACAATTTATAATGTTTTTTTTTTTCTCACTGCACAGAAATTTGCACCGCCCTGTTTTGGTTCGAATCATCTCAAAAGTCAAAACTGGCCATTTGTAGTTTCTTATGAAGGCATCGGAAGTTTACAACGTCGTATTCAAAAATTTAAAAATAAATTGCGAAAACTTATTTTTAATTTTTGTTAGTTGTAATGAATAGGGAAGTTCTATTTACACCACCCATTTTGCTATTTACACCCCCCCTATTTAATAGGTGTAATAGCTTTATAGGTGGTGCAAATAAAAAAGTGCTTTTTGCACCACCTCATTAAATGTAGTCAAACATTAATCTTTATTTTTTATTTTTATTTAATAATCAATCTCTTTATTATTATTATTATTATTATTATGTTTTAATGCATAATTATTTTGTTCAATATTTTTTAAAATTTTTATTTTTAATACATATTTTTTTTAAATTTCTATTTTCAATACATCTTTTTTTTTGTTCGATACATCTTTTTTTAAGTTTATATTTTCAATACTTATTTTTGTTTATGTTTTAATTTTAAATAAAGAGAAATAATAATTAATTTTGTTATTTTAATTTTTTTATAACTCAAATTTGTTGTATATATTATTTTAAATTGATTTAACTATAAATTGAAATATAAAATGATTACTAGTGATATTTGAAATAAATAAATATAAATTGATTTTCTACCTATCTTTTATAAAGATATATGTGGGTTAGAGTTCTAACAATTTTAATGTAGTTAAAATTCTATAAAGATATGTGGGTTATAGTTCTATTGAGACTTTGAAATATAAATTGATTTTCTACTTATCTTTTTATACTGTAAATACTGTAACAATTTTATAAAGATATATGGGTTAGAGTTCTAACAATTTTGATGTAGTTAAAATTCTAATCATAAAATAAGTGGAGGTCAAAGGCTTCTAATCATAAAATAAGTCTACTGCATGTGTTCCTACACTCTTTCTATTTTGAATTTTGTATTTATGGTCGTTCTTCCGTCTCTGTAAAATAGTTTCCTACAATTGTGTATTCTTTGTAGTATATGTTGCTCTATGTACTCAATATTACTCAATAAATTGATTTTCTACCTATCTTTTTTATATTGTATTACTGTAAATACAATAAATTGATTAATTTACAACTCTATTCACAACAAATTAAATTAATTCAGTATATAGATAGACTCACAAGTCACCCAATAAATAAAATCACAAATTCAGTACTCTTTATACTATAATTTTCTCTCTTGAAATGGAACAATGAGATTGTTATTTAGTCAATTGAGAAATTATATCTAATTTAAATGAGTCCTAATTACCTAGCAAGGAAGAACAAACTGGCTTAAAATACAAATAGCAACACTCATAGAAATAAATAACAATTCAAATAACAACTTAAAATACCTCATAATGTCTATGACTTTGATTTTGATCATTGTAACTAAGTAACTGGCTTTGATTATGATTATTGTAAAAAAAAAAAAAAAATCTTCTATCTAATGATCCATGACTTATAGATTGTGTGATACATAGGCTCTGTTTACATTAGTTTGTTTACATATTAAAATTTAACATTTTGTCTTTAAATTAATTAAGAGAAATAATTTTATTAGTTATATTGTCTTTATTTTTCTCCAATGTAAAAATTCTTTACATTCAGATTTATTAATTGATTATATTCACTACATTGTCTATTATCTTTTTTTTGTGCACTGTTTTTTAATTAAATATCAAAGTTATAATATAAGTAATGTTATATGTTTATTTACCAAGTATTTTATTAATACCATGAAAAATTTTAAAAAATATAATTAATAAAGCCAATCATATTAACTACTTGAGGGATTTGTTGACAAAGAAAGTATTCAAATCACACAACAAATTGAAGTGAGAACTACGTCACGATATCCTTGTTTGACAATCAGCAGTTAGCGGTTAGCGTTAGCGGATTTGACCAGCGAATTATATCAACGGTTGGTAAAAAGATATTTGAATTATAATATTTGCGGTGAAAGTTGCAGATAAATTAAAAGAGAAGAGAAAAAAGTTTTAATTGAGAAGGGTAAATTATGTCATCTCTTTAAAATAATAAGGATAAAGATGGAAAAAAAGTTAGGAAGTTAGGAACTTATTTTGAAACGCTACCTAAAGTAGCGTTCCAAAATAAGCTCTTATTTTAAGCTAGAAGCTTATTTTATGAACATTACAAAACATAGTTTATAGCTTATTAGTAGCTTAAAATAAGCTATAAGCTCCTAAATAAGCTCTGCCAAATAGAGCCACCACACATATATATAGTCATATGAGTCCAATTTGTATTCTCTGCCACCCAAATTACCAGTAATTTCATCTCACAAACATCAATATTGAATAATTGCTTAAAAATATATATATATTGAAATTATAAACTTAAAAAAAAATATGTATTACAATTAGCAATTTTGAAAAAATATGTATTGAACAAAAAATATATATTGAACAAAAAAAATGTATTGACAATAGAAACTTAAAAATATATGTATTGAAAATAAAAACTTAAAAAAATATTTCATAAATAATTAGCATTAAAAAATCAAAAACAAAAAAAAAAAAAAACAAAAAAACAAAAACAAGCAAAACAGTGACGGGGTTCAATTTTTTTTAATTTAATATTTTAATTAATTAGAGTTTGAATTAAAATATTATTAATCACCATCATAAATAAGGTTTGACCAAGTGGTGCAAATAGCAAAATGACCCTTATTTAGCTATTTACACCACCTATTAATTATTAAAAGTTTTCACCTTTTTATAACTTCAAAATACTTTATACCTACTTTTGGTCAAAGGGGGTGCAAATAGCAACACCCAATGAATATTTACTAATTATAAAATTAATCAAAATAAGAAAGCAGTAAATTGAAGTATTTAAGAAATAATAGAGTAATCGAAATAAGACCCAGAATTTAGGTTAAGAATATAGAACGTGACAAAAGTTAAATTTTATTCCCATTATAAAAATATTAAATATTTTTAAAATTTTCCCTTCAAACCAAGACTGTGTCCAGTAATTTTTTTTTTTTTAAATTATTCCAAACGAAATGAAGAAAAATTAGAAAATTTGTTAAAATGAACGAAATTGTTTCCTTCGTCGCAAAGTAATTTAGGAGAATCAGAAAGAGTTATCCACTTGGAATTTGGAACACAACAAATGTACAGTAGTGTCTTCATCTGTTACTTTTGAGTTCTTCATCCCGATTTTTTTAATTGTTTATTTGATAATTCCGTAATATTTTAATAACAGAAGATTACCTTTTTCCCATCAATTTTTTCCCAAAACACCCAGCTTTGATGCCGACTTCAATGTCCAAAATTGGAAATTTTATGGGGCAACCTTATTCTCAATTATAAGTAAATTATAACCAAAATAAACGGATTTAGCATAGTTGAAGTCTATATGATTTTTTAAAAAAAAGTTCTACCTAGACACCTTTAATCTGTATTATATTTAGATGAAGCCAATATGATTTTTTGTCACTTAGACTTATAAAACAAAAACAAAATTTACTTGATGCACATCCCCTCTAGTAGTGGCAGGTTTCCTCCAAATAAAAAATGGGAATTTCATAATATTCCAAAAACAAACTCAGATACGGAAGCAAACCAGGCATGAATATGAAAAATATAAACTGTACAACTTTAATTATCCTTTTTTTTTGGCCATGCATATTAGTACAAATTCTTATGGCTAATTATAGTATATAGGTATTTGAAAAACAGAAATTAAAATGAAATATAGAGCGGATAGACATGAAACTGAAGAAGACAACATAAACAAACCTTAAAAAGATGGATTTAGTATATATGTCTTGTCCCTCGGCCGATCGATGAGGAGAATGGTGGATTGCGGCGTTTGTTGTTGCATGCAACTCCATTTCTGCAGATCCCAATTCTCTTGAAACAAATTAAAGATGATTAGATCTTTCCGAGGTTGTCTTGGTTGAAATCGAAGAGTTGATATTGATCGACGTTGGGGTAATCCCAGATGCTTGAACCGGCTAATCCGTCTTCTCCGGTGGGCCAGAACATGGGGGAGCCCGGACTTCCGAACGCCGGCGGCGCCGCCGCCATGGTTGATGAGAGTGACAAGCTTGAGCCCACGGAGCCCACCAGCGAGTTCATTTCGTCGTAGAAGGAGAAATCGTCTTGTTGTTGGGATTGGGTTTTGGGGTCGCTTTCGGGGTGGTTGGGATTTGGAGGGGGTGTAGGGTTAGGGTTAGGGCTTGGGATTGAATTGCACAGCACAATTGCTTCGCTGCTGCGGAACGGCGGTTGCGGTGGTTGGGGTAGTTGGAGGGAGTATTGTTGGAGAATCTCCGGCGGGTATTGGAAGCCGTAGGGTATGTACGCGGTTGCGGCGGCGGCGGAAGGGGGTGGGACGAGGCCGAAACCGGGGGGTTTTGGGAGGATGGGGCGGAGGTTTTGGGTGGAATAGGAGGTGGCGCGTTTGGAGGACTGCGAGGAAGACGAGGAACCGTCGTCGCTATTTCCCGACGGTTGGAGGTTGAGCTGCGCCTTGGAGCCGTAGAGCACAATGGCGGCTCGGTCGTAGGCTCGGGCGGCGTCCTCCGCCGTGGCGAAAGTCCCGAGCCACCGCCTCGTCCGCTTCTTGGGCTCCCGGATCTCCGCCACCCACTTCCCCCAACTCCGCTGCCTCACCCCTCTATACTTAAACTTACTGTTGTCCGGCCCGCCTCTCCCTTTCCCGCCGCCTCTCTTCCCGCCACCACTCTCGCCGCTCGCTGCGGCGGCGTTGCAGTCGAGGTTGTCGCCGGAGACGTTAGAGGTCGTCGGGGGTTGAGTAATAATGGAGTTGTGTATATTTGGATTGATTTCATGAGTGGCCATAGCTTAGCAGTGGAGTTAGGGTGCCTCGTGAAATGGTGCCCAATGAGTCAAAAGAGATGACTGTAGAATGGAAGGCCGGTGATGCCAAAGCTTTACTGTTAATGGTGGATGAGGGCGGTGGATGGCTGTTTATATAGAACCCTGTGCGTGTTTATATATACACGACTGGCTGCGCATGCAGACTTTTTTTTTTTTTTTCTAATGTTTCGTATTCCACATTTTATTTTTTTGTGTTGCAATTCTTCTTATTTTTTGGGATAAAAATTACCGTGCATGTTACGTGCGGTTAATTTAATTTAATTATTTTATTTTTAAATTTCATATTATTTACAATAATTTTGAGATGAACAGATTTTAGAAATGTAAAAAAACAAAATGTAATGAAGAAAATTACGAAATTACTTTTAAAAAAATAATATTACTCGTACTTGAATAACTTGAGATATATATATATATATATATATATATATATATATATATATATATATATATATTTATATATATATAGGTCCGGATCAGGTGAGGACCTAATCTTAGGTGAGGACATGAGGACTAATCTTGTGCGTTTGTTTTTTTATTTGGATGGTCCAGATTTGAGTTCTTGAGATGACATGGATTGATCTTTTTTGTTAAAGTGGGATAATAGTGTCTTTTTCTATTTTTTAAAGTGTGAACGCATGTATAATCCTTGGCCAAATTGGTTTCCTATTTTCTTGGATCATCACCGTTGCAATTTGGAGCCGCGATTTCTTCATCATTGATTGAGTGTTCGCCCATGCAAACTAATCAGTATTTTTTATTTTTTTTCGCTTGTTTTTTTGAGTATAATATTGTCTATATTTGGATTGTCGTGTATATGTATAAATGCCTGGGTAGTACGATTGTGCATTCGTGTGTGCTGATTGTGCAACCTAGTGTTGTAAGTTGTGCACTATAGGCTAGGGAGTTGTGCATTATAGCACATAGTTCAATGCATCGTAGAACATTGGATGTTCACTGTATGATTTTTTGGCGGGGTTTGAATGCACAACAATGAAGTTATTGATGCACAACACTCAGCATAGGAATGCACAACACTCAGTACAGGAATGCACAACACTCAGTACAGGAATGCACAACATTTTGTATAGGAATGCACATCTTTTAATAAGACTGATTTACCTTAAATTTATATATTTTAATATTTTAAAGGGATTTGTTTTCTTAATCCGTGTGATTTGTTTCTTTTAATCTCAATCATACATCATTCTGATTTAATGGTCTAGATTAGTCCTCGCGTCCTCACCTGATCCGGACCATATATATATATATATATATATATATATATATATATATATATATATATATATATATATATATATATATATAGAAGAGCGCTCATATGCGGCGGGGTCTTACGGTGCGGCGATGCGGTCAAATTCCAGAATACACCAACAGTGTTAACAATATGCACCAACAGTGTAATAAAAACACACCCCAATGAAATGTAATAAAACATCACAAAATACACCACAGACTCAAAAAAACACACCATATAACTCACCACCCCCAATGGTGTATTTCCGAACAGTGTATGGTGTTTTTACTCACACCTAATGGTGTGTGTTTGGTGATCCAGGGCTCTGTTTACTCTGTTTTGTGTGGTGTATTTCCTAACGTTGATGGTGTATATTTGGTGAACTATTGGTGTTGCCGCACCGTAAGAAATAACCGCACCGTAAGACACTGCCGCACCTGAACCCGCCTCTATATATATATATATATATATATATATATATATATATATATATATATATGTTGCACATAAATTTCACGTTAAATGTATAATTAGTTTATTTTAATATTGTGTGTCATTATTTGTTTTTATAAATCAGTCTTTATATTGTATATAGGTAATTAAGTTAGAGTGTATTAGTATACAAATTTGTTGATGAATTTTATACTAATTTATTGAGACTAATTCGGAAGCCGTGGTTAATGCTACTAATAAGAGGAAAGATGAGAATCGTCCGGAGGTAGAAACCCTGATTAATGACTGCAAAGTTATTAAGAGAGGTGGTTTTGTAACTGTACGTGTTATCAACCACGTCCTTCAAGAAGATAACCAGTGTGCATGTTTTCTCGCCAACTTGAGACAGAGCAGTCAATTGGGTATAACGATTAATTAGTTTTTACTGATTTGCAGCAATATCTGATAATTAGTTTTCTTTTTAGGGCTTTAGTATTTGTTGTTGTTGTTTTTTTTCCCTATTGTGTATAGCATTTGATAATTTTGCCATCAAAACATTGATTTTGATCATGATTTTGCTGTATTGTATTTGCAAATTTGACTTTTATTAAGAATCTATCTATATTTAATTAATTGTGTAATAAATTAATAAATTTATTGACATTATTACTAAAAACTAAAAAGTGTAAATAAACTTAAATTTATTTTTCCTTTCCTAGCAAGAAAAATAAATAATTTAATAATTTAAACATATCCACTTCCCGGTGCAAATTATTCCCTTTACTAGATGATCATCATCTCTACTTTATATTCCTAAAGAGCCAAAACCCTAGAATGGGAAATTTTATTTATTTATTTTTAAAACAAAGTTTCAGTTCATTCAAAATGAGACAAAAAAATGTTTTTTTTTTTTTTTCAATTCAATTTGGGTATATTTGATTTTTTTTTTTTTTTTCGATTGAGAGATTTGATTTTTAATTCAACAGTACAAACAATAAAGAAAGATTGACCAGATTCAATGTCTATTCAATTTATTTCTAGATTTAGGGTGAATAAACTCGCTCATGTCATGGCTAGAGCTGCTCGTTCTCTTATTGGTCCTTCTAGTTGGTTAGATTCTGTTTCTCCTTGTATTGAACTTTTGATTTAATGAAATATTGAGTTTTCATTTGAGAGAGAGAAAATATGAATTTTAGTTTGTTGTCTTTTATATATATATATATATATATATATATATATATTAATTGGAAACAACTAAAATTTTAAATTTAGTATGACATTAATTATATAAATCCAACATCAAAGCTTCAAATTTGGTAAATGACAATGATACTTGGAAGGAAATTATAAACGGGACTTGTGTTAATTAGATTGATTAATTACAAAGGATTTAGGGTGAAGTGTCAAATAGCACCCTGAACCAATTGCTATATGTCATCCTGCACCCTATACTTACATAAGTGATTATTCGAATCACAAACTAAAAAAAATTGTCCACCTAACCTTTTTAATAGGTTTCCCTGTTGCTTTGATGACATGGATCCGGTTAAAGGCTGACGTGGAAGCTAATTATGAATTTCGTTTATTTATATTGGATTCATCTTCTCCTATCGCAGAAGCTATGGAAGACGACTACTTCCGGCGACCCAATTTCCGTTTCCAGTTCTCCATCGAATTTCAGTGCAAACTAGAAGCCACAAGTCTCTCAAGATTCATCCGCCTATTTATTCACAGCATCCTTCTCTCCTTTTCTCATTGTCTTCTCTTGTAGTCTCTAGCTTCTGCTTGTATTTTCTCATTTCAGTCCTGAAAAATGGCAGAAGTTGAGTACCGATGTTTCGTCGGTGGTTTGGCCTGGGCCACCACCAAAAGCTCTCTCCATGATGCGTTCTCTTCATTCGGCGAGGTCATCGAATCGAAGGTCTGTCTGTCTCAGAGCAGTGATCGAGTCTCGGTTTGACCCGATTCGGCTTTGTTGACATAATCTCTCTGTTACTACTACTATGTTACTTGACTTGACTTGATTGATCTACTGTTCTCTCTCTCTCTGTTACTATTTTTTACTATTACTTTCCCCTGAAACGGTACGTTCATCTTCCTCTTTATGTTGAGAGGTTAAGATCGATCGCTTTTGTGTTTCGCCCCTATACGTATATATGTATTTTCTAAGTTTGGTGTTATTATTGTGTTTTTAGCTTTAGATTTCGATGGTGTTGACTTTGTTGTTGAATTTTGTGGTGGATCAGATCATCAACGATCGTGAGACCGGGAGATCCAGAGGTTTTGGCTTCGTTACCTTCAAGGATGAGCAAGCAATGAAGGATGCTATCGAGGGGATGAACGGCCAGTCTCTTGACGGGCGTAACATAACTGTTAACGAGGCTCAGTCTCGCGGAAGCGGTGGCGGCGGCGGCGGTGGCGGTTTCCGTGGTGGACGTCGTGAGGGCGGAGGCGGTGGTGGCGGTTATGGTGGCCGTAGGGAAGGTGGTTACGGTGGTGGCGGTTATGGTGGCCGCATAGATGGTCTCCTTTGGGCTGTATGCGGTTGTGAATTTTTATAGCCCGTTTGCCCAAAAAATGGATTAAAGTCCAATTGGCAGGAAATTTTGGCCGAAAGGAGTTGGATTGAAAATGAATGTTATATTACATTAAACTGATGAATGGATGCCACATATTCTCAAATTGCTGCCACATCTACAAAACAACACACATCTATGCCAAATCACCTCCACATCACCAACTTATTACCTTTAACTTGAAGGCTACCTGTAAAAAAGGCTAGGTAAACAATTTTTTTTGGTTTGTGAATCGAATAATCACTTATGTAAGATTAGAGTGCGGGACGACATTTCGTTATTGGTTCATGGTGCTATTTGGCACTTGAGCCAAAGATTTATGTTATAAACAAGAATTGTTTGTCTCATATTAGATGATGTGTTTTACATTGTAACGCATCTCAATGTCACATATCACCTTAGTTGATCTGGGAATATTTTTAGAATTGATTTCTTTTAATTTTTCTCATTTTGGATAATGTCACTCTACTACTCTAGCAGCACGTTTGGTTCATGGAATGAATTTGGAGGCAATAAGAATGTTATTACACAAGAAATGGAATTGTATTCTATTGTTTGGTTCGCTGAAAGAATAGACTTTAGAAATTATATTTCAATGTTTGGTTGGTTAAAAGAATAGAAATGGAATAGGTTTTAAAGACATAAATACCTTTATACAAAATAATAATAATAATAATAATAATAATAATAATAATAATAATAATAATAATAATAATAATAATAACAACAACAACAACAACAACAACAACGTTGCAGGAGGAATCTCAACGCGTCAAGGAGAGGCTGAATGATCCCGATTTCGCGTTTTAAAGGCTCGACGCGTCGAGAACCTCATATCTGCGATTTTCTACTGTGAAAAATTATTTGTTTTACCCCTTCTTTTGTCCAACTATATATAACATCATTTTCTTTCAAACCCTAACTATGGACTGCGGGTTGGGAAGACAGATGGAGTGAAGAGAGGCGATTCTTCATACTCCTAAGGAAGAAGGAGGATCCCCACACCTTGCTAGAAGAAGAACCATTGCAAAAGCTTTGAAAGGAAGATTGGAGGATCAAAAGCTACCAACAAGTTGAAAGAAAGGAGCTTGGAAGACATATTTGGGAGAATTATCTCTTCATCTCTTCTTTACTTTAAGTTTATTTGTATCTTCCTTGACATTATTGTTGTTGAAACTATGTTAGCCATGGTTGGCTAAGCTTTTCTTTGGGATTTTTGGGTATAAAAGTGTTTATGAACCTATATGCCTTGTTCTTAATTTTCTTAATGAAATATATATTTGGATTTTATATCTTGTGTTGCAATTGTGTTCTATGTTGTTGATGCTTGTAATTAAAGGCCTAAATTACTTATTTCATTGCTATATTTGTGTCTTGATGGGAGTTAGGATATACATTAGGACACGCACAATTGCACTTGACTATGGTACCTTGGGAGAGAGCATATTTGTTAAGGGATTATGAGATTATCTAGATTGCTTGTTCTTGCAATGGTTATTGTAACTATCTCATGGGAGTAAGTATGTTTCACTTGTCTTGTTGTGGGTTGGAATTATGGGAGTAATTTTTTCATATTTGAATGCAATCTTCCATACTCGATTTAACCCAATTAATTGTTTCACTTTAAGTTGGCAATAGGTAATTAAACACTTTGACCTTCAAAAATCCTGCTCTTTATTTTATTGAAATCCTCAAATTCACTTGCATTATTTTACTCCTTTTGGTTACATGTTTGTAGCAAATTACCTCTTATTAACAGTAGGAATAGCTTCATATGAATTAGTAGCTAGTGCTTAATATCCCACTTCTTTGTGGATCGATAACCCTAGAATACTCCGGGTATTTGTTTGTCAAAATATGCTACAATCAACTGTGTAATATAAGGCTATTTTGGTCTTTCTATGCTTGTCTCTTATCCTTTACCATTTCTTCCCCTCGGAGACCATGTTTGACTAAGGAAATTAGATAATTAAACCTAAAACCTAAAAACCAATGCGAATCAGACCAAAATCGAAGCAACAAAGCATCAAATCCGACGTTCATCCAAGCAAATCCCAACCAAAATCGAATAAATTGGAAAGCTGAATGTGTGGAGCTGTTCCGCCATTCGGATCCTTCTGCTTAGGATTCGCAGGTTGTCTTTGTACCTCTTACAACATATCGTCTATTTTGCGTTATGCGTTATGGAAATTGGTGTTGGCTTCCGCGTACTTGGCCTACATGTGTATCTGCTGCTGGTTTAGTTTGTTTATGGTGTGTTGTTGTTGGTGGATTAGGGTTTGCTGGTCGGATATTTTGGTTTCTGAGTCCCTTGTCTTCTTCTCCATCTCTATTAGGTCCGGTGGCCTTGCTGCTTTTTGAAGGAGAAACCTCCGCTGGAGATTATTAGGGAGAATCTCTTATTGGCTCTACGTTAGAACAACAAACAACGTTAGAGAGGAACTCCGGCGAAGTAATAGAACTGCCACTGCCGCCGCCTTGGTCCACCCATCCACGCTGCAAAACCAGTGGCAACGCAGAAGACGGCACCGGAGAGGAGGAGTTCGTCGACCTGCTCTGCTTCGCCAGAAAAAGGGATAATAGGGGATGCCAGATTTCATACGCCGCCACTGCCCAGCTAGCTTGCCCGGAAAAACAAGGTCGTCGACCACCACTGTTCAACCATGCTATCTACCTGATCAGGTCACCGCCGTCACCACTGCTTTGTCGAAGGGGTCACTGCCTCTGTACACGCCGGAAGGGAAAGCTACGCTGGAGAAGATCGCAAAGCTGCCACACGCCATAGAACCGTTGCTACGCTGGAGTTCCTCTCTGTCGTCATTACCCAATGTAACGGAAGAAAGGGAGGAGGAGGAAGATGGTGAAAGTGTGACAGGCAAAAATGATCTCCACAAGTTCAAGGAATGCACTGAACTGAGGTGTTTAACTCTTCATAGGTGAACCCAACGTCCATCGTCCTTTGGTTTAGGTGAGAAAAGGTAAAGGAGAATAGGCAAACATAGAATGACCAAAAATATCTCTAGATTACACGGTTTCTTGATGGAAATATTAACGATGGACTAAAAGTTGAACAAGTTCAATAATAGTGGTAGCAATGTGGCAAAATTAATTAAGGTGGACTAAAATTGAAAATGCCCCTATAACAGTAGGACTAAAAATGAATTCAATCTTAAGTATATATATATATATATATATATATATATATATATTTATATAATACATTATATTTATTAAACATAAATGTTAAATAATGTGCAAAAGGTATTTTTGATATTTGTAATATAAAAGCTATTCCAAAGAGCATGAGAATAGTTAATACCAAGGCCCCCTCTAGGAATAGATATTCCCTTTGCAAAGGTAATAGCTCATTCCTAGGAATGTTATTCGCACGACAATATGACCAAAACAAACAATGGAATAGGTATATTCCAATGAGTGTTATTCCATTTCTGACCTATTCCATGAACCAAACATGCCACATGAGTTCATTGGGAATCAATGGTTTTTTTCCCTGCATTTGTTTCATTTTAGGCGATATATTGTATGTTAAAACACATATCTATTCACTTTCATAATTTTTTTGCTTCTGCAAGTAGATGTGACTAGGGGCGGAGCTACAATGGGGGCAGCTGCCCAGCCCCATCCCATATATAACCCTTATATATATATATATATATATATATATATATATATATATATATATATATATATATATATATTACAAAGGTTTAGTATAAGTAAAAGAAAACAGCATATATTAACAACAATGAAATGTTAGGGGTTTGAATCTAATTTATGGCATGAATGTAGTTTTTATGGCTATTTGAATAATAATGGTGAGACTTTCAAAAAACAAATTAATGGTGATATTTTCACACACACACACACACACACACACACACACACACACACACACACACACACACACACACACACACACACACACACACACACACACACACACACACACACACACACACACACACATATATATATATATATATATATAATGAGGTGTGTAATTTATAATGTGTTTTCTATTAGAATTATTTTATTAAATTAATTATGCTTCATATTTTGTTATAAATTTTTTTATAAAGTTTTGATGTGTTTTATTTTTCGCTCATATCTAACAATATTTATGACTAACTTCTTAAGTGTTTCATTTTTTTTTAAGCGATCCATTTTGTTTTAATGTTTTGCTGCCCCCCATGAAAAAAATTTATGGATTTGTCCTTGATTTAGAAGATCTTGATGTTTGACATTTTGTTATAGACTTATAGACAATTTTTATTATTTGAACTTCGCCCCCACTCAACTATTTTTCTGAATCCGCCACTGGTTGTGACAACGTATCCACCCACCCCCGATGTCACCTGTCACCTTGATTTCTATCGGAATCAAATTCTTTTTTATCTCTTGTCTCATTTTAGTGATGTCACTCAACTACTCAAGGGAAAGGTCGAAATTCGAGTTGTTTGCATTATTTAAGGCGATGTGTTATATGAGTTTAAGTGGTAAGGGGCTTATAAATAATTTATACATTAGAATATAATGTACAAGTTTTGTTTAAAGAAATATTTGAGCTCTTTAACCTAATTATTAAGACATTAAATATCTTTATATAGTTGTTTACGCCAAGTCGCCAACTAATATAGTTATAGTTAATGTTTTGCTTTAGTATAATTTTTTTTTATATGTATATAAATTAATAACAAGCATTATATTATATATTATATATATTATAGTTATAGTTAATGTTTTGCTTTAGTATAATTTTATATGTATATAAATTAATAACAAGCATTATATTATATATGAAGTTGAAGTTTTAAATTTAGTATGACATTAATTACAAAATTCAATTTGCCTGGTTTTATTAGTTATACTTAACATTTTACTTTAGTATAATTTTATATGTATATAAATTAATAACAAGCATTAATGCATTACATATAAGATACAATTGGCCTTGTTTAATTAATATTGCACTAATAATGCATTAAAGTTGGTCAATGACGATGATATGAAATTTACTATGAAGGAAATTATAAATAGGATTTCTGCTTGATAGATTCATTATATTAGTTATTATAAAGGATTTAAGTTATAAATGATAATTGTGCTTTATGTGAGAAAAAAATTCGATATCACCTATCACTTCAGATGCTTTGAAATACTTGTTAATCAATATTTTTTTTAGTCTCATTTTGGATTATGTCACTCAACTACTCTAGGAATATAATGCACTTCGAATCAAGTTTTTGCATTCATTTCATTTTAGGCGATATGTTCTATGATAGTTGGCGACCGACGACGGTTTAGTCATCGTCGGAAATTTGTCAGGTGTGATGTCGGAACAGAAATGACATGTAATAACAGATCATTTATCAATTATTGGACTTCATTGACTCAATTTAATAAGTTATTCTTGAGCTTCATTGACTCAATTTTTTGGAAGCTAGGAATGGTCCGATCCGGTGTCTAAACGATGTTCACTTGGCGGAGGTCATGGCTATTAAATAATTTCTCTCGTGGATTAAGGAAAGAGCTCACACTACGGTTATTGTTTTTTCTGATTGCCAGACAGTTTGCTCCTTGCTGAATACCTCCGGGATTGATTTATCTTATGCTGGCTGTGTTATTGGTTTTTGTAAGGAGTTTCGTCGACACTTTGAGACAATGCCCTTTCAATATGTATCTCGATCAGTGAAAAAGTGTGCTCATTTTTTGACTAAAGCGGCTCGTTCGCAAACTGGTCTATTTAATTGATTTTCTTTTATCCTTGATTGTATTGGACATTTGATTTAATAAAATATCGTCAATTGATTTTTTAAAAAAATAATTATTTACAAGTATTATACCTGAAGCTAAAACTAATAAGATTTTGATTACTGAATATAAATATTAAATATATCTGTTTTCATTACTTTATACCTAATTTCTTACGGTTTACTCTGTATATACATATATATATAGGCCCAAAAAAGTCTAAGTCAGTTTGGGTTGATCGTTGAAAGGCCTAATCGAGTTGGGCTGGAAGTTGGAGTTCTTTAGGAGAAATATATAAGTTTCTAAATTTTATAGAAAGAGATTTATTTTTTGTTCACGTGACATCTCCGATATGAAAGGTTATGATCGAATCTCAGTGGAAATGATGTTAACTTTTTGAGTTTCAATAGGTTAAGAAAATATGTTTGAACAGATACTACAATGTAATGGAGTCAACAATATTCAAAAAAATTAATTGTTTTGAAAAAATTAATAATTGAACACCAAAATATTATTATATTTTAATACATTTAAATTATTTTATTATTAATAGAAGATAAAAAAAAATTATCATATTACAACAATACTAGTGACTAAAAATGAACTGTCAATTATATATTTAAAATAAAAAATAAAATTAACTCTTATAGTTTTCTACGCTAGCGATACTATTTATAGAGCAAGTTACATTACGTTACGTTACATAATTAAATAATAAAAAATAAAATTAACTCTTATAATTCTCTATGCTAGCAATACTATTTATAGAGCAAGTTAGATTACTTTACGTTACATAATTAAACAGTAAGTGACCAAATGTTTAAAACACTTAAATTTCTTTCACTTGACTCAACACGTTTTATCATCATAATTAGGCACATTCAATATATACTTAAGGATTGAATGTGCCTAATTAGATGCATAACTCAAAGAGTTGATGATACCAAAAGTAAAAAAGTATGACAGAAAGAAAGAAAGGTGTGGAGTTAATGGACGACAATGGCTTCTAATTCTGGTCTTGTGATTCATGATTGGCGTGTACTCACTCAGATTCTCCGTCGAGTGAAACAAAACAGTAGCGCCGGTAAATGTAGAAATATTCACCGGAGACAATTAAGCTTGTTTGACTTTTCATTCCCATGAGTCATGACATAGAAAAAGAAGGGTAAATTATGAGTGGGGAAAAATCGTAGACTATCGTAGTCACAACCCACTCCGTCCAATACCCTTCTGACGTCCACTCTTCCGGTCAGATGTACGGCAACCCTTCACTTTCCCTTTCCCTTTCCCCTCTCCTTCTCTTCTTCTCTTTCCCCGGTGTTTTCTCTCTTCTCCACCGGCGAAATTCGAGCGCCGACGACTGAGCCGGATTCCATGGAGGCCCCCGTCGCGCAGAGCAAGCCGCGGCCCCACGCCGGCGGCCGCGAGGACTGCTGGAGCGAAGGCGCCACCGAGACTCTGATCGAGGCTTGGGGCGACCGTTATATCAAGCTTAACAGGGGTAACCTCCGTCAGAAGGACTGGAAGGAGGTGGCTGACGCCGTTAATTCTCGCCAGGACGGCGTTAAGCCGCAGCGGACTGATATTCAGTGCAAGAACCGCGTCGATACTTTGAAGAAAAAGTACAAGCTCGAGAAATCCAAGTCGTCGCCGTCGATATGGCCGTTCTACCACCGCCTCGATTTCCTCGTCGGAACTACCTCCGCTACTCCGCCGCCGCCGCCGAGAAAATCTACCACCATCACGCTCACCGTCAAGCCCGGATCGAGCCCTAACAACGCAAAACCAACCGCCCTAGTTTACTCCGGCGGCTCCTCGAAGCCCAATTCTAGCGGCTCTAACAACAGCTCCCTCGGCGGCGGCGCAGGCGACGATGACCTGCTCTTTACCGGCCCAGGAAAGAAGCGTAAACTCGACTATGTCGATCTATCGGAGGAAACTACGGCGTACAAGGAATTAGCCCGGGCGATATTAAGATTTGGGGAGATATACGAGAGGATTGAGAGCTCCAAACAGCAGCAGATTATGGAACTGGAGAAGCAGAGGATGGAGTTCTCCAAAGACCTTGAGGTTCAGAGGATGAATATGTTCATGGAAGCTCAGCTGCAGCTCGAAAAATCCAAACGCACCGCTAAGCATTCTCCTGCTCCTGTTGCAGGTGAAGTTTATGGAATTTATTTATTACTATTAATTGCATACCTGAATTGATTTGAAGCTTGAAAAGGCTAGGGTTTCTTATACAGTTCCATACTTAAAGATTAAAACTTTTTGACCAATTCTGTAATGGTTGTCATTCCAAGCCAATTGAATAAAAAAATTATCAACTAATCTGTTCATTAAGAGTGGATTTTCTTGACAACATCACTTTAGGACATACTGTCTAATATAGGTATTGTTGGCACAGTGGGAAAATTGTTGAGTTCTGTCATGGTTACCATATAAGGTCACTAACGAAGTTCGGCCAAAAAAAAATTGAGGCTTTTTAAGATCTTAAGCATGTCTTTGTGTTTAGCTGGCTGCGACTTATTCACATAGTTCCTGTTGAGTTTTACTTGTTTTTTGGTTGATTGTCGTTCTTACAGCTCAAATGATGAAATTTTGAACACTGTTCGATATGGTTATTGGGATGTAGCCATATGAAACTTTTGCTTGTGCCTGAACATTACCTCGGCTCATTTTTCTACATGGTTATTGCACCTGTGTTGATTTCACTGTCTCAGCTATTTCTTAAAACGAGAACCAACTTTTTATATCCATAGACATGCCGAATGTAGTTTTGGAATGGTTATCGAGCAGAGTTGGTGCTTTAAAATGGGATTCACTTGGAATGGAGATATGTCTATCTCTTAATTTGGTTTCCTTTGTTGATTGTTTGCGATTTTCTGACAGTTTGATTATGGTGTAATAGTAGTCTCGGTGATTATTACATGTTTTTATTCCAACCTACTATGTAGCCACTTTGCTCATCTTAGGCTCTTAGACACTTAAAAGTTAAAACCTTTTGTAGTCTATGTTGTGCTGTTTATAGTAGGCTTTACCCTTTCGGACTAATTGATTGCTGATAAAAATGGACTCTAGATGGTAATAATTAACTGTGCCTTTATTGTAAACAAATTGTACTAAATGAACATTCATGTATGTGCGAGACTTAGGTGTATCCCAATAATTAGCTTATATTTTACCTTGATTATGGGAACAAATTCCCCGTGTTCCCACTTTCCTTCTCATCTTAAAGTGAAATAGGTGTGCCAAAAGTTTTCAGGAATGCGTGGACAATTAAGTCCCTCTTTCCATGAGAAGACGATGCAAAGTCATGAACCCTGGTTCAATATAGAAAGGCGGAAAGAGGATGCAATATTTGTTTGAAAATGGTTGTCAAGAAGAGAGAAGAATACGGGCTATCCCCGTGATCTGTCATCATGGCAGACACATCTCGACCCTTCGAGACACAGATAATATCTCTGTGATGCATAATGTCTGAATAGAATGTTTGATATCCACGAGGATGAGTCGCGAGTTAACAGTAAAATTTGCCCTTTGTACATGGATTTAGATTCTGTGGTTGCATCCTCTTTCATACAAACCACAGATTGATTGTTCCAGGCTGTATGTTTTAAATCTTGTTTGCCTTCTGTCCTCAACTTGCATATGCCCAATGATTGAGAGTTGAAATTACCGGCAATATTGAGTGTCATTGATTCCTTTTTACGCTCGCTAACTGTTGAATTACCATTCCCAGGAAACGAAGCTGTAGGCGAGGCGACTTGAGAGAAGGATTCGCAATCCGGGGGCATCTGTGAAGTGTGCCCGCCACTCACTGAAATGATTGATTTCATATAGTGGCTTGTAAATTATCTTATTCTTGAAGTCAATAAAAGATCTCAAGAACTCCTAGAATAATGTCCTTCTATTCATTAATGTTGTCTTGCTTAGTGTATTTTCTGACATGTTTCTCCCTATTTATCAACTATAACATCTTCTTCAAGAAATTGCTGGTTTGGCTTCTTATTTGTAATCATTCTCAGAACATATTTCTGTGTCTGTGTCTGTGTCTGTGTCTTGTAAATCACTGCTCCTACCCCCCCACCCAATACATTCTTTCAAAAGTGTGAAACAAGCAAAAAAAACCCATTTTTTTTTCAGGACTGATCAAATCGATATGGGTTCGGATGTGCAGGGAAAGGTTCATTTTTAACAGAGCTGACAAGCAGCTTTTGTAGGGTCCCATTCCCAGAATTACTACCATACAGGGAAAAAAAATTTAATGATGTGATGTATTATAATTAGCAATTGTCTAATCAATAGATTCTTTAATTAGTTTAATAATTAATAATCAGAGGTGTTACTTGTTGGGGGCCGGTAACTTAAACATTTTCGTTGGGATTAAGGAATTCAGTGTCAACTGTAAACAGTAAGTAAACCAGAATGTTTTTATGAGCAAAAGAAAGATTGTGGAATACTTAAAAGGATTTGTGGCTAATGTTTTCACCACAATCTCTGTTCCATATAAATAATAAATAATTAATTACATTAAACTAAGTAGCATGAAGTCCCAATGCCATTCTGGCCATGGCCCTCCAGATTATTACCTGCCCACAGTTTGTCACTCAAAAACTAACTGAGCGGACAAAATATTACTACATGGAGGGATAAAGATGATATTAATTGATTAAGGGAATGGGAATTGGCCAAATGGATTGAGTGATCCAGTGTGATCAAGAATCAGAGAATTCTGGTGATGATCATAGGTGCCGGAGAAGCCACCGGAGGGCGGAAAATCCAGGTAAGAAGAGGGCAGATTGGCGTTGAGATGATCATAATTAAAGGAGGAGGAAGAGGAGGAAGCGGCGGTGGGGGGATTGGCGGTGGCGTAGAAAGCGAGGCGGGCTCTGGCGAGGAGGAGATCATTCTGGAGCTCGGCCATGCGGCGCTGGAGGGAGGCGATGGCGCCAATGCAGCCGTAGACGGGGTCCCTGAGGCGGACCTCGGCCTCGTAAACGAGGGAGTTGACGGTGTCCTCGCGCTGCTCCTCCGGGACCTCGTTCAGGATCTTGCTCACATTGCTGGCGCCGAACACCTTGTGAACTTTGGCGAATTTCTTGGGGTCGTCGGAGCGGAAGTAGGGGGCGAACTGGCAGTTGGGGACGCAGCGGCGCTTCAAGAACTTGCAGGCGGCGCAGGAAGAGCTTGAGCGTGGCTCCTGATGATTCTTCATGCCTACTAGCTAAGCTAAGCTACCTATAGAAGCTCCGATCCGATCCTCTTTTGACTAATATATATATCATATATGCCCCTATAGCCCACTTCCAAACATTATATATATTGGCTCTTCTTATGTAGTAGTAGTAGTTGTATCACTTGTATGCTTTCCATATGATGGACGTGATAATAACAATGGTCTGCCAACATGGTCACAATCCCCAAAATGTTTTCCATTATTAACTTTTTTTTTTTGAAAATTTTCTGCGGTGCTTCATTAGAAAAATGCTGAAATAATGTCTGGTGGGTGAGTATTCCAGTACATAGTATCAGGTTGCTGATAAGCCGTAGTGGCTAAAGCATGAGCTAAATAATTGTCCGATCTAGAAATATAATTAAAAGAACATGAGTGAAAATAAACGGCAATTTGCCTGCAGCTATCAATGGCATAGCCAACGTAAGAGCGAAACGCAGTGGTTGATGATGTAAGGTAGCGTTGTAGTGTCAAACAATCCGTGTAGATCTCAATATTCTGTTCACCTCGATCCTTTAGCCATGATAAAACTTCCTTACACGCCAAAGCCTCAGCCATAAGTGGTGACGTACAGGCCGGTAGCGGCGCGGTTAGTGCCGAGATATAGGCTCCATCTCCATCTAATAAAACGGCCCCTACAGTTGCATTCCCTGTCTCGTGTAGATATCCCGCATCGACCCTGCATCTTCTCACTGGCGGCACAGAGGATCCGGCGGCGTCGGCAGCACCGCGGCCGGCGGTGGGACTCGCCTGGGCAGCGTGGCGGTTTTCTGTCGGCAGCGTAGCAGTGGCAGTGGCAGCCACGGCTGGGCGGGACTGAGTCCATGCGGTCTTGGCTGCCGCTGCGGCTCTGAGTAGGGACCCCGGGCGTGGTAAAAATGCCTCCCAAACTGCACCATTTCGAGCTTTCCAAATATTGTATAGAATTGATGCTGCATATAACATTCCATCAGAATCTAAAATATTTAGAAGTTCCCCAAACCAAACATGAAAAATATCCGTGACAATATTGGGGATTGTAAGGTTGGATTGATCCCAAATGTTTCTTGCAAAATCACACAAGACTAATGCATGCATTGTATTCTCATGTGATATCCCACACATAGCACAATATGGGTTCACCTCCACCCTCTTTAAAAGCAAGTTCGTAGTTGTAGGCAAAATATCACAAATAGCTCTCCAGAGGAACATTTTCCACTTTGGTGGAATTTTTAGTCTCCATAAAGCTAACCAATTAATAAAGGGGCCTTGATTATTCTCATAATCTCCCACCAATCGTCTGTACCCGCTTTTCACAGAATATAATCCTCTCGGGTCCCCGTACCAATACCATGCATCATTATAATCCCGGGATACAGGTACTCTCATAATTCTCTCGACATCCGTAGGTTGAAATAAATCTGATAAAATTTCATTATCCCATGTACCAGTTTGTTGATCTATTAGCCCCACTACTCTGGCCTCTCGTAACTGTATAGGCATCTCTGTTTGTATCATAGGGTCCTGGTCATCTAGTAACCATGGATGGGTCCATATAGATGTAGTTTCCCCATTCCCAATTCTTCGTCTGACCCCACTACAAATTATGCTCTTTGATGCCATTATACTCCGCCAACAAAAACTGGGATTATTTCCTACCTGCGCATCAAAGAAAGTATCCCTGGGAAAATATCGGCTTTTGTAAACACGAGCTACTAAGGAATCAGGCTTAGTGAGCATTCGCCATGCCTGTTTCCCCAACATAGCTAGATTAAATGCACGTAGGTCCTTAAAACCCAATCCACCATACTTCTTAGGAACACATAGCTTGTCCCAAGCCTTCCAGTGAACTCGGTTGTCCGTCCCAGAACCCCACCAATATCTATTCATCGTTCTTTCTATAGCCGTGCATACTGATATAGGTAGCAAAAAAACACTCATTGAGAAGGTAGGCATAGATTGTGCCACACTTTTCAACAGTATTTCTTTCCCTGCCTGAGACAATAGCCTTTTATTCCACGACCCAATTCTTTGGCGTATTTTATCCTCAATATATGCAAAAGCTGCCTTTTTATTCCTACCCACAAACGAAGGTAGACCCAAATACTTGCCAAAGTTTGGTGCCTGCTCCACCCCCAAAACTTGGGCCACACTTTCCCTATCCACATTACTCGTATTCCTGCTATAACAAATACTCGACTTGTGGTAGTTAACCACCTGTCCCGATAGATCCTCATATACAGTCAGGCATTTCTTTATCTCATTAGCCTCCTCCACATTAGCCTTAAAGAATAAAAGGCTATCGTCCGCAAAAAACAAATGAGAAATCTGAGGGGCACCTCTTGCTACCCTACATCCATGAATTAATCCCGCTCTGTTAGCCTGTTGTAGTAACAACGAGAGTCCCTCCGCACAGATAATAAACAAATATGGGGATAGCGGGTCTCCCTGTCTCAAACCACGCGTGGGTATTATTGGGTCACTCCTTGAGCCATTTATCAGAATACTATAGGAGACTGTGGTCACACATTTCATAATCAAATCAACCCATCTATCATGGAAACCCAATGCCATCATCATATTACGGAGAAAAGGCCACTCCATTCGATCATACGCCTTAGCCATATCCAGCTTAAGTGCACCCCAGCCCCTCAATCCACACTGTTTTCGATTCAGAAAGTGCCCCACTTCTGCAGCTAATAGAATATTATCTGTTATCAATCTATCTGGGATAAAAGCACTCTGTGTCTCAGATATTATTCCTTCCATCAAAGGCTTCATTCTATTAGCCATCATTTTAGCTATTATTCTGTAAATGACATTGCTAAGTGCTATAGGGCGCAAATCAGTTACTAACTCTGGATTACTCTTTTTAGGGATCAACACAATATCTGTCTCATTCAAGCCAGACGGGAGGTCACCTGATTCAAGACAGTTCAGCACAAAACTCGCAACATCCCCTCCTACCACATCCCAGAAATGCTGATAAAAACCCGGATTCATTCCATCCGGTCCTGGTGCTTTATCCGGATACATTGCAAACAATGCATCCTTTACTTCCTCCAGATTAAATGGCCGTAATAGTGAGTCATTCTGCGCCTGTGATACCCTGGGTTCTATCTCCCCAAAAAAATCATCTCCAGTTCCCGGACCCCCAGAGCTGAAAATATTCTTAAAATAGTCCAGAATGCTATCTCTCATGGGATCCCCCTCCAACCAATCCCCATTGTCATTCATTAATCTAAGTAAAGTATTCTTTTTCTTTCGGTGAGAGGCATACCTGTGAAAGAATTTGGTATTGGCGTCAGCTTCCTTGAGCCAGTGCTGCTTGGCCCTCTGCCTCCAGTATGCATCCTCCTGGGCCTCAGTGCGACTCAGAAGTTGCTCTATTCGCTGAAACTCGACAAGAGAGGCCGAGTCAGTGCATCCTCTCAAACGTTGTTGATCCCGTTTCAGCTGCACAATCTGTTTCCCATACTTATGGAACCGATCCCCACCCCATCGTGTTAACCGGTTTCCACAGTATTGAACACAACCCTGTAAACCCTGCCCTCTCCCTTCCTGCCACGCCTGCTCCACCACACCCCTACATCCCTCATCATATAACCATGCCATCTCAAACCTAAAACCCCTTCTTCTAACCCCATCCCTCCCTACCTCCTCCTGAACTGTGAAAAAAATGGCTGAATGATCTGACTTCCTGGTTCTCAAATTCATAACCTTTACATGGGGAATTATATTGCGCCACTCGTTCGTTACTAGGACCTTATCAAGTCTCTCCTCAATCCAGTTTGCAGTCCCTTTCCCCTTCTCCCAGGTATATGGGTATCCAATCATTGGCAACTGGGCTAATCCACAATCCTCAATCGTCTCCCCAAAACCTCGAAGAAGGCTATTCGGATGTGGATTTCCCCCTCTCTTCTCATACTGGTATAGCAAATCATTAAAATCCCCCACCACCACCCACGGGAGATTCGATTTTGCCGCCAACATTCTCAACAAATCCCATGATTCAGCACGCCTATTACGGTCCGAATAACCATAGTAACACGTCATTCTCCAGGCCGGATGACCTGTCATAGTTACCTCAATATCAACGTAGTTTCTTGAGTAACTAAGGAGTCTCGCCGTATTATTCTTCTTCCACAATAACGCTAATCCACCACTCAAACCATCATTGTCAACATAAAATAAGCCTTCGAAACCAATCGTAACACGAAGACGCTCAGCATGATCTCGCGCTACCTTAGTTTCTATTAGAAATACAAAGTCGGGTTGCTTTTTGGACACCATGTCCACCACCTCTCGAACTGTCCGTGGATTACCCAAGCCACGGCAGTTCCAACTCAGCGTACTCATTGGGTTGGGCGGGTCTGTGATCCAGAACCCGCCGTAAACAAGTTTTTTGAGCCATCCACCATCGTCACATCTGTACCATCCCCTCCATTCTCACGGCGGCGCTTGGCCACTGCCACCACCACCTCTTCGGTCTCGGACCTCTCGGCCTCCTCAACCGGGCTACTCCGTACCACCGGTCGGCGGCTCGGATTCCCATGCATCGGAAAGTCCTTCGGCTTTCCACCGAGAGGAACCAACCAAGGGTCCCCTATCTCCCGTGGCCCTCGGTTTCCTCCCACTCGTAGTTCCGCAGAGTACGGATACTGTTCCACCGGTATTCTTGCTTCCCGAGCCTTTATACAAAACTTATAGGAGTGACCCAGCATACCACAACAGAAACAGAAAGTGTGCAGCCTCTCATACCTGAAGTTAACCCAACATGTTGTCCTATCCCTCTTCAGCAATTTCATCCTTCTCTTAATCGATTTATCAACCGGTATAGACACCCGAATACGATAATACGTGATCCAAGGCTCCCCAATAAACCTCTCGTCCAGTTTGACAAAAGTTCCAATAAAATTCCCAACCTGCTCAAGAATCGGGATCCCCGTGTATCCCATCGGTAAATCATGCAGTTGTACCCAGAGATCAATCGTATCCAGCACAACATCAATCGGCATCACACCATCCGGAACCCTCTTGCAAACTAACGAATGATTGTTAAACGACCACGGCCCCTCTTCCAGCACATA